TTAAATTATAACGAATGAAGCTTATTTTAACATATGTCATAGGATATAACCTAACTTGTGGCAGGTTACACTTTTATTATAAACCCCGAAGGCGTAAACTGCAACAAATTATGTTATATCGTATTACATAGGTCTTTACAAGGAGCACACAGCGGAAGTGATCAGCGGTCGGCAGTGGATGGTCACTCTTCCATGGCACCTGATATTCGGAGGCCCTTGATTTCTCTGCTCCAATTTTGTAATGTTTAATGGATTTTAAGCTCGAGTAATGTTCGTTGTTATCGCTACTGGTCAGAGACCAGAAGAGCTTATGTGATAGTAATGCGTCCGTCCATCTGTCTGTAAACAATTTTTCAAAACTGCTACTCCTCCTTCGGTTGTGGTCTGATTTCAATGTAACTTGGCACACAAGCACACAACACTAAGATACATATATATAATTCTGTATATCGGTGTTTGATTTCGATGAACGGTGTTGCCATGGATACTAAAAATAGAAGTTTCTGTTAAATACTTTTAAAATGCTACTCTCCTACAGTTTTGATCTGATTTCAGTATAACTTGGCACACAAGTAGACAACACTAAGATGCATAATTCTGTGTACATCGGTTTTGGATTTTAATGAACGGTGCTGCCGTGGTTACTAAAAATAGAAATTTCTGTGAAATACATTTAAAATGCTACTCCTCCTACAATTTTGGTCTGATTTCAATATAACTTAGCACACAAGTAGACTATACTAAGATACATAATTAAACCCCCGCCCCGAAGGAGAGGGGGGTATACTGTTTTACCCTTGTGTGTCTGTCTGTCCGTCCGTCCGTAACAAATTTTCGTCGCAGTTTTCTCAGCAACTACACATCGCAGATGCTTGAAATTTTAACACAATCTTCTCTGAGGTATGCCATACGGTGGGATACATTTTTTGGTCAAATCCGATGTCAACTTCCTGTTTTCTGTGCGTCTGAACGTTTCATATATATAACAAATTTTTCGTCGCAGTTTTCTCAGCAACTACTCATCGCAGATGCTTGAAATTTTAACACAGTCTTCTCCGAGGGGTGTTGCTAAAACGCGGAACGGAAAACGGAAAATTTTAGTCAAACAATTAACATAGATTCGATAAAAATCAGATAAAAGAGCAATATTCTTGTTGTAAAATTCATTTCTTATAAAAATTTATTGTAAACTGTTATATATTCATGAGTCATACACACCCTCCGTTCAGAACTGGTGTACAAGCGATGCCCCCCCCCCCTTTCAACAGGAAGAAATTCGACCCACCCACCCCAACACACACACGAAATAGGATTTTTGTGTTTGGGCAAAGGACACATCCCCCCGTTTTTTTTTTTGTTTTTTTTTTGCTTGTCAAATTTTTTGTATGTTGGAAATATTTTACTGACCACCTCCCCCCCCCTTCAATTTGTTTCCAATGCCAATGTCTGTAAAGACAAAAATAACTGGTTATGATATTCAGATTATGCACGCAGTGTCGAATTCGCGAATCATGAAATGGGGAGTGACAGTTTCGGGTCTGGGTAGGGGCCCACAGCCACATTAAAAATTGATTTATTAAATCTTATGTATATTTAGGACACAAAAAGGGGGGGGGGGTAGACCTATTACCATCCTCACAATGTAAAGGGTTTGTGATTTCTCGAACTCCCGAGTTCGAGAAATCACAAACCCTTGTTATTGTGAGGATGACCTTACTACAACTTCTCAGACCTTTCCGATGAGCGGGAAAACAAATTTTTTTACGGGGTCACTGATATACCCTCCCCCCTCCCAACACACACACATACGCACCGCAAATAAACAAAATTTAACTTCATTGAATGCAAAGATTCTGCATTATATCTACCACATGAAAGTTTTCCAACTTTGTCTATCCAGATCGAATTTATATGTATAGAAAGCGACTCTTTTGAAAAAAAATTTTAACAACCAGTGTATATAGATGTTTATTCGAGCTTGCCGTAAAGGTTTGCACTACACGTAATATCTAATTTTTTTTTTAATTTTATTTCTCTTTCAATGGTTAATCTAGCTATCAAATATTTGCTCCCCCAGTCATAACCTTTTTACTACGGAAATGTTCTTTCAAGTTGACATCCTCACAATTTTTGTGAATGTAATTAATGTAGTAAATTAGTGTAAAAAATAGTTCTGAAAGATGTTGGAGTTGGAACTTATCCCCCCTCCCGAATCAAACAATTGTCTTCTTTTTTTGTTTTTGCTTGTCAACTATTTTTCAAGTTCGTTTACCCACCCCTACCCCTTTTTCAAATTCGATTCTAGGTGACTGCTATGTTAGCGATTTTCGTAAATAAGAGACTTATCATGACAAAATCAACTTGTATTTAATAGTGGGGGATTGAATAGATACAAGATATATCGTTTATGATAAAATTTGTGTATTTTAAGTGATTTAATCCAAAATAATATATTCCGTTTTCCTTTCCGTTCCGTTTCGCGTTTTAGCAACACCCTTCTCCGAGGCATGCCATACGGTGGGATAATTTTTGGTCAAATCCCATGTGAACTTCCTGTTTGTTTTGTGCGTCTGTCCGTTTCATACATAACAAATTTTTCGTCGCAGTTTTCTCATAAACTAATCATAGCAGATGCTTGAAATTTTAGTAACTCTTTGTTGAGGCATGCCATATGGGGGGATTGCTTTTGATATGAATCTGATGTCAACTTCCTGTTTGTCTGTGCATCTGTCCGTAATGGAACTTGTGTATATTAACATGATAGTGTTTATTCACATCAGAGCGGGGGTATTCCTAGTGAGCATTGGCTCACAGATTTCTTGTTCTATATATCGGTTTTTGATTTCGATGAACGGTGTTACCGTGTTACTAAAAATAAGAAGTTCTGTTAAATACTTTCACAATGCTATTCCTCCTACTGTTTTGATCTGATTTCAATATACCTTGGCACACAAGTAGAATGCACTAAGATACATAATTCTGTGTACTATCGGTTTTGGATTTCGATGAACGGTGTTGCCGTGGTTACTAAAAATAGAAATTTCTGTGAAATACATTTAAAATGCTACTCCTCCAATTTTGGTCTGATTTCAATATAACTTGGCACAAAACACTTTTAAGGAACTCAAATTCTTATTTTTTGATATCGTCGGTCCTATAATAGTGCCAAAAATCCAAAAAAAAAATAAGAATCCAATGCTTACATTTACATTCTCTAAATTTCTCTCTATATAATTGTAAATTTCATTTTACTTTCTACTGAATTTAGCGCATGTCAGACCTGGCGTACATGTAAAAGCCGTTTGTGACATTGAATGATAAATGCGGGGGGGGGGGGGGGGGGGCGTACAAATGTTATATTTTTATGATAAATAATTCCATTGATTTTAATTAAATTGAGTCAAAACAATGCACAATTTAGCGTTCCAAGAGTATTGAAAATGCACATAATTCCTACTATGTATTCTACCGCGCAGTGATAAGGTTTGGTGCGTTTGATAGGATATTGAATGCAATTATATAAGAATTCCAATGGATTTTAAAAAGAAAAAAAAATACTTTGAATGTAAAAATATACAGACATGAACATTCACTTTAATCTCTATCGGCTACCTATCAAATCTAGGATATCATTTTTTAAAATAAATTCTGACATTTATGTATAACTGTTCAATGGGCCAAGCACTTAATTGAACTTTTGTCAAAATAAAATTCAATTAAACAATTGCGTTTTCCCCGAAATTCCGAAGGCTGTTATACAGTCCCATTGAATGTAAGAAGTTCAGCGATCTGAATTTTATTAACATAGTAAATTTATCTAAAATTATGGAACGAACTGCCTTTGCATATTACTCAATCAAAATATATTGATGTTTTCAAAAACAACTTTAAAAAAAAAACACTTCTTTAGGAACTTATTTGTGGTTGTGTTAGAAAGTGCACATGGGGAATTGAGACGTCGTTATTATACCCGCACTTTCTAAAGAAAGTTTGGGTATATTGTTGTTACTCATGTCCGTCCGTCCGTCTCTCTGTCCGTCCTTCTGTCACACTTTTCTTCCCTGAACTCCTCCTACATTTTACACAGTAGCCTAATCATCTTTTGGGAGATGGTTGGTGGTGTCATGTAGATGTGCAGTAAGGTTTCGGAATTTTGATTTTGCCCTGGGGGATCAAATGGGGGTCGAAAAATTACGTTTTTTAAGCAAAAAGTCCCGTCTTCCCTGAACTCCTACATTTTACACAGTAGCCTAATCATCTTTTAGGAGATGGTTGGTGGTATCATGTAGATGTGCAGTAAGGTTTTGGAATTTGATTTTGCCCTGGGGGCTCAAATGGGGGTCGAAAAATGATGTTTATTTAGCAAAAAGCCCCGTCTTCCCTGAATTCCTAGATTTGGTGGTGTCATGTAGATGTGCAGTAAGGTTTTTGAATGTTGATTTTGCCCCTCGGGGTCAAATTGGGGTCGAAAAATGATGTTTTTAGGCAAAAAGCCACGTCTTCCCTGAACTCCTCTTACATTTGACTCAGTAGCCTAATCATCTTTTAAGAGATGGTTGGTGGTCTCATGTAGATGTGCAGTAAGGTTTCGGAATTTTCATTTAGCCCGGGGGGTCAAATGGGGGTAGAAATTTGTTGTTGTTTTTTTTTTTAAATATTTGATGTTGTCTGTTTAACGTTATCTCAATATAATCTTTTTCTATTTCTTTCCTTTAACTTACTCTGTTTCTGTTTTTCTCGTGGCTTTCTTTTCTTTGATGCGACCTCCATTATACTTTTCTCGGTTTCGTGATGGACCCGTCGATTCTGCTTATATTTGTCTTTGTTTTTTGTCACCAGAAGTTATCAATAAATCTCTGGTAGAAACAGATTAGCAATCCATTTTCCTGTTGGTAGCAATTCCTGACGTTGCGTAAAAGCTATCCAGCTTAATAAAGCTAGTTATCCCGCAACTACCCCTTGCACTGACCTAATAAAGGTAACCAAGGGCGCTTTCCATTAACGTTGCCTTCTCGGCGACGTCACCTGGAAACGGTGACGTTAATGGAACGGTTGGTAACGTCACAATTACTAAATATGGAGGAATGCGAATCCAAACGAAACACTCGCATAATAAAGATATTTCTCCTTCAAGAACTTGAAAGCGATGAGATGAATGTTTGTGACGACGAAGTTACGCCAGAGGTTATACGTCATCTATTGTCAGAAAAAAGAATAAGCCGACAGCGTATTTCTGATTATTTCAACGTAACAATACCAGGATACTCCCCAGATGAGTTTTCCTCGCATTTTCGAATGCGAAGAGAGACTTTTGAGGAAGTCTGTTGACAGGTATGCTTTAAATTATTAATAAATCACTCAAGAAAATACACCATTTCATATATAAAATGCTTCCAATGCAAAGTCTATCGATCTGCCCAAGGGCTGCGTTCAACAGCTGAGTTTGATAACTGTTTTAAAATTCTTTGTTTGATATATTTTAAAATTTTTTTTAGAAATGTTCACAAATTCTAGGCAAAAAAAAGAAGGATTTATGTAAAAGGTCTTTGAAATGCATTTACTATTACTAGTATTTAAGTGTCCATTCTAGAACTTAACATGCATTCTCTGTAAGCACCAAAAAATTTTGGAAACGACATATCTCCGAGTTTGATGAAATTTGCACCACAGGTGCACCTTGGTACAAAACCAGCAAATATGGTGTCAGAAGTTTCCCACGTGCACCCGGTTGCCATGGAGACGGATCCATAGAATTTGGCCATTTTTGGCCATTTTTGACCAAACAAAAACATGAAAATTGAGGAAATATGAATGCATTTTTATCTTTATGTAGTGAACTCAAATATAAATCTTTGTATCATAAGAAAACATCAACTGTTAAAGAATACAGGGCATATAGCCAATTATTCCAGAATTGACCCCACTCTTAGAAAACAGTTCTGCAAAATGGAGTAGTTTCTCAAAATGTGGAAAATGGAAAATATGGCATTTTTTGAGAAATTTAAAGTTAAATAAAAAAAATTGTCTACGGAAATTTTTCAAATCATATGCGTGTCGTCAAACGTCAGTATTAGTAGTGTCCTCTCATGAAAAAATTGAATTGGGATCTCAATGCTATTTTTAGTAACATGTATCTAAAAATAGACATATTTCAGAAAAATCCAAAAAATGAGATTTGGGCAGAGTTAAAGATGCCATTGCCAGGTAATTATGAAATATACTGTATAAGTCAATATGCTAATGTCAGAGACTGGACACCAATAACTACCATGCATATTATTTTCAGGGATTTCCGTTTTCTATTTATAGCTTCAAATGCCTAAATATAGACATGTCTCATAAAATGATGAAAAAAGTCAATTTTCCATCATTTTGAAGCTCCACTGAATCATAATTAATGAAAATATGGATCTCTTTAATATTTCATCAATAAGAACAAGGAATAGTATAATATCTCACAAATTATTGAGGACAGACTCTCATCTCTATAAGTAGAACAAATGTCTAAAAATAGACACAAATGAAATTAACTGTTTAATGTTGATTTTCCACTAATTCTCAAATTAGAGATGGGAAATTTACCGACTTACTGTCATTAACTGTCACTGATATTATGTGACTGACAAGAACAAAAGAACATTCAATGGAAAGCAGCATGATAAGCAGATGTTTCCATTTCTATTTATAGTAACACATGTTTAAAAATAGAGTAATGCAAAATATCGGGAAAATATCGTTTTTTTGTACTTTTCTCTTAAATTTTGGATGAATAATTGCTGACTATCTGTTTTTAACTGCTATTGGCATATGGTGACCTCAAGTAAAAGAAAGCCTTATATCAAATACAAAATGAGAAGCAGTGATTTCCATTTCTATTTATAGTAACACTTGTTTAAAAATAGATGTACTGCAAAATATCGGAAAAATGTCGTTTTTTGTACTTTTTTCTCACATTTTGGATGAACAATTGCAGACTATATGTTTTTAACTGCTATTGGCATAGGGTGACCAACAAGTAAAAGAAAGCATTTATGAAATACAGAATGAGAAGCATAAGTTTCCATTTCTATTTATAGTAACACATGTTTGAATATAGACATACTGCAAATTATCGAGAAAATATAGACTTTTGCATTTTTTTTTAACATCAGGAATGGACAATGTGCAGACAAACGGCTGATATTTGTTATTGACGGAAGATGACTAACGAGTATGAAAAAGCTTTAGCAAAAATGTATAAGAATAATGTGTAAGGGTATTTTTCCATTTCTACCTATACTAACGTATAGTTATAAATAGACATTCAGCAATTAATCAAGAAAATGTATATCATCCTATTTTCTCAAATTAGGGATAGGAAATTGCAGTCAAACTTTCATTAGCTGTAACTGACATAATGTAACCGACACGTTCAAGAGAGCAGTAACCGAAATGCATAATAAGGTGGGTTTCCATTTCTATTTATAGTAACACATGTTTTAAAATAAAGGCTCAAGTGAGCTTTTATGATCATTTGTGCCTTGTCAGTCGTTGTCGTTCTCATTGTAAACTTTTAATATTTTCATCTTCATCTTCAAGAACCACTGGGTTAATTTCAATTTAACTTACCGCAAAGTATCCTTGAATGAAGGAATAATACCTTTTCTCTGTTCGATTATTCACTAAGCTAATAAGTTATATTTCTGACCAATATTAGTTTGTTTAAACACCTATTAATAGCAAAGCCATTTCTGTAACTAAAGTTACTCCCCATCCTCTCATAAAGACAAGTTAAATTTTATTAGTAGTAGTATTTTAAAAGGTAACAAGGAATCTTTTTCAAACACTGATACCAATGTATGATAGCTTATTGCCATGAAAATCAAGTCTTTAAAAAGGAGATAAAACTCTAGGGTCATAACAAAATACTGGTGAATTTTTAATTTGTTACATTCGTGTCGGAAGCAAATTAAAAGTGAAGAGGGGGGTCCAAACCTGAAATCCTATTTCATGGGAGGGGGATCGAACTTCTTTCAGTACCATTTTTTTCTTTCAAACACTACCACTTACCCTTATTCGACTACACTGCAACATGGCTGCTGAAGGGGGGGGGGCTAAATCTACTCCCCAATGTTTATTACCTATATGATGTCTATCTTTGAACCCCCCCTCCAGTTCCAACACCTACATGTATGTTTATACATAAAATAAATTTATAAAAACCAAAACAACAATTATTTTTAAATGCTTTAGTTAAAGTCTAAAGAAATATGTACATGCATGTATTGAGAGAGAGAAATCGAAAGTAAGCCAACTCAAACAATTTGGGCAAATTTCGGATTACTTTTGAACAAATTGTGGTAAGGCATGCATAGATCAAAAGGGATCTGGATCCCTGGAATATTCAACTTTATTATACCCCCCCCCCCCAACGAAGTTTGGGGGTACATAGGAATCAGCTTGTCCGTCTGTCTAGCTGTCCATCTGTCCATCTGTCTGTGCAAAAGTGTCCGGTCCATATCTTCCTTAATGAGGAACATTAGAATCTACTACTCCACACAAAGATTGCCCATGACCTAAGGGTGTGTCACGGCCTTGACCCAAGGTCATTTGGGGAACTTCAAGGTCACTGGAAGAAAAATTTCGTAATTCGTGTCTGGTCCAGATCTTTCTTATGGATAAACTTGGTAGGTTCCTATTTCACACAAAAATTGCCCATGTCATAAGAGTGTGTCATTACCTTGACCCAATGTCATATGAGGAAATTCGTGGTCACTGGAAGAAAAATCTCTTAATTCGTGTTCGGTCCATATCTTTCTTATGGATATACTTGGAAGGTTCTCATTTCACACAAAGATTGCCCATGACCTAAGAGTGTGTCATAACCTTGACCCAAGGTCATTTGGGGAGTTCAAAGTCACTGAATTTTTTTTCATAATTCGTGTCCAGTCCATATCTTTCTTATGGATAAACTTGGTAGGTTCTCATTTCACACAAAGACTGCCCATGCCATAAGAGTGTGTCATGACCTTCGGCCAAGGACATTTGGGGAAGTTCAAGGTCACTGGAAGAAAAATTTCATATTTCGTGTCCGGTCCATATCTTTTTTATGGATAAACTTGGTATGTTATTATTTCACACAAAGATTTCCCATGCCATAAGAGTGTGTCATGACTTTGAACCAAGGTCATTTTGGGAAGTTCAAGGTCACTGAAGAAAAATATCATAATTCGTGTCCGCTCCATATCTTTCTTATGGATGAACTTGGTAGCTTCTCATTTTACACAAAAATTGCTCATGACCTAAGAGTGTGGCATGACCTTGATGCAAGGGGAAGTTCAAGGTCACTTGAAGAAATTTTTTTTATTATTTGTGTCTAGTCCGTATCTTTTTTATGGCTAAACCTGAATCTACTACTTCACACAAACATTGCTTATTACCTGATTTTCTGTCATGACTTTGATCCAAGGTCATTAATGCAAGGTCAAGGTCACTGACAGATAAAATTCATAATTCGTGTCTGGTCCGTATATTTAGTCTGTTTTTTTTATTAGGATGCGCCTTCGTTTCATTTATGAAAATATTATGAGCAATTACATTTGCATTAAAAATGTTTTAGCATTTCTCTCTTCTCTTAGATCTATTAAATATTCATGATTCATGATTAAGCACCTCTGAAAAACGCAGCGGGGGTATTTAGTCCCGTTTGGACAGTTCTAGTTTAAACTGACATAGTGATTTGAGCCATTGCCTCCTAGGGAAAATTTTCTGGATCCACCAAACAATAAAAAATTCAATCAAGCTCGGGTTGTCGACCTGAATATAATTGAAACGATAGTGCTTAATTTATAAAGAAAATCGCTGTCATTTGAGTGTTTTAATGCAGGGAGAACATACTTTTGTGATGCATGTATTGGAATGAGGTGGACACGCTGGTGCGCCGAATACAATTAGCCATGTCAGTTACAGCTAATGAAAGTTTAACTGCAAATTTCATATCCGTAATTTGAGAAAAACGAATGATTCTTTATTTTCCTGATTATTTATAAATATGTGCTACTATAGGCAGTAATGTAAAAATACACTTAAACATTATTCTTATACACTTTAGCTAAAGCAATTTCATACTCTTTAGTCACATTCTGTCAATAACAAATAAAAGCCGTTTGTCTGCACTTGGACCATCCCTGATGTTAGAAAAAAGTGCGAAAGTCTACATTTTCTCAAGAATTTGCAGCACGTCTATTTTCAAACATGTGTTACTATAAATAGAAAATAGAAACCTCTGCTTCTCATTCTGTATTTCATATATGCTTACTTTTACTTGTTGGTCACCCTATGCCAATAGCAGTAAAAAACATACTGTCTGCAATTGCTCATCCAAAATGTGAGAAAAAAAGTACAAAAAACTATATTTTTCCGATAGTTTACAGTATGTCTATTTTTAAACTCATGTTACGATAAATAGAAATGGAAACCTCTGCTTCTCATTCTGTATTTGATATAAGACTTTCTTTTACTTGTTGGTCACTATATGCCAATAGCAGTTAAAAACAGATAGTCAGCAATTATTCATCCAAAATTTTAGAAAAAAAAGTACAAAAAATGACATTTTTTCCCGATAGTTTACAGTATGTCTATTTTTAAACACATGTTACTATCAATAGAAACGGAAACCTCTGCTTCTCATTCTGTATTTGATATGATGCTTTCTTTTACTTGTTGGTCACTATATGCCAATAGCAGTTAAAAACAGATAGTCAGCAATTATTCATCCAAATTTTTTTTTTAAAGTACAAAAAATGACATATTTCCGATATTATGCATCACGTCTATTTTTAAACATGTGTTACTATAAATAGAAATGGAAACTTATGCTTCTCATTCTGTATTTCATTAATGCTTTCTTTTACTTGTTGGTCACCCTATGCCAATAGCAGTTAAAAACATATAGTCTGCAATTGTTCATCCAAAATGTGAGAAAAAAGTATAAAAAAAAACTACATTTTTCTGATATTTTGCAGTATGTCTATTTTTGAACATGTGTTACTATAAATAGAAATGGAAACCACTGCTTCTCATTTTGTATTTGATATAAGGCTTTCTTTTACTTGTTGGTCACCATATGCCAATAGCAGTTAAAACAGTATAGTCAGCAATTATTCATGCAAAATTTTAGAAAAAAGTACAAAAAACGACATTTTTCCGATATTTTGCAGTATGTCTATTTTTAAACATGTGCTACTATAAATAGAAACGGAAACCTCTGCTTATCATGCTGCATTCCATTGAATTTTTTTTTGTTCTTGTCAGTCACATAATATCGGTTACAGTTAATGACAGTAAGTCGGTAAATTTCCCATCTCTAATTTGAGAATTAGTGGAAAATCAACATTAAACAGTTAATTTCATTTGTGTCTATTTTTAGACATTTGTACTATTTATAGAGATGAGAGCCTGTCCTCAATAATTTGTGAGATATTATACTATTCCTTGTTCTTATTGATGAAATATTAAAGAGATCCATATTTTCATTAATTATGATTCAGTGGAGCTTCAAAATGATGGAAAATTGACATTTTTCATCATTTTATAAGATATGTCTATATTTAGGCATTTGAAGCTATAAATAGAAAACGGAAATCCCTGAAAATAATATGCATGGTAGTTATTGGTGTCCAGTCTCTGACATTAGCATATTGACTTTTACAGTATATTTCATAATTACCTACACATGTAGCAATGGCATCTTAAACTCTGCCCAAATTTCATTTTTTGGATTTTTCTGAAATATTTCTATTTTTAGATACATGTTACTAAAAATAGCATTGAGATCCCACTCCAATTTTTTCATGAGAGGACACTACTAATACTGACGTTTGACGACACGCATATGATTTGAAAAATTTCCGTAGACAATTTTTTTATTTAGCCTTAAATTTCTCAAAAAATGCCAAATTTTCCATTTTCCACATTTTGAGAAACTATGCTATTTTGCAGAACAGTTTTCTAAGAGTGGGGTCAATTCTGGAATAAGTGGCTATATGTCCTGTATTTTTTAACAGTTGATGTTTTCTTATGATACAAAGATTTATATTTGAGTTCACTACATAAAGATAAAAATGCATTCATATTTCCTCAATTTTCATGTTTTTGTTTGGTCAAAAATGGCCGAAAATGGCCAAATTCAATGGATCCGTATCCATGGCAACCGGGTGCACGTGGGAAACTTCTAACACCATATTTGCTGGTTTTGTACCAAGGTGCACCTGTGGTGTAAATTTCATCAAAATCGGAGATATGTCGTTTCCAAGCCCTATAGTAAATTTTTTGGTGCTTACAGAGAATGCATGTTAATTGTGATCGCTTAAATGCGAGAAAAATAAAATAATAAAACAGATAAAGTTGCGCTCCATTTAGAGTACCCGAGATGCGCAGAATTAAAAATCGATTCTACATATGAATTGAAATTTAATTTACTAGTATCTCATAGCTGTCGATGTATAGTGGAGTCATATAACATTTCGTTAATTAAATAAACTTCCAAGCGTCGCAATATCATGTTTATGTTTATGTGTAGAAGAGTTCTTTTTTAACTATTTTTATTTTTTTTTTATAAGTTCAGACTAGCTAAAATTTAAAAAAAAGATCTTTCTATTTGTTTTGCTTCTTTATATAAAGATAGGACTTTTCTGTAAATTTCACAATTTAAATCAATCGTGTTTTATAGATAACAAAGATTTAAAACAATAACCGAATTATTTGAATTTGAACGTAAATAACAAATTTCATTTGAACCTACACTTAAAATCTTATATTTTTATCTTTTACTTAGTAATACCAATGTCATATTTAGCTTTCACAAAAGATTTTTTAACGAGGATTATTTATACTTTGATAATATTTTAGCTTACTATGACTTCTTTACACAAACTTGTTTTGATTACGGCGATGCACTTATCCCCCTTCATAATATAACAAAATGTACTTTTGATCATATCCTATATTATTTTTAAAAATCGACACGTTTATAATTCAATACTGTCATCAATAAAAAATGAATAACCGGTTATGAAATTTATGTATGGTTAAGGTACAGATATGGTGAAAAGGGGGGGGGGGGGAGGACTTCAAAAAAAAAAAAAAACCAAAATATCATTGAAGTAAACTTTATTGAATCAACAGATACTGTCAACAGGCCACATCCCAAAAGAACATGTTCATGGCAGAGAAATCATTGAACCTTCTAAACAAATAATGATTTCTATATGGATGCTGGCCAACATGGAAGGGTACAGACAAATAAGTGACAGGTTTAACGTCACATATTCCTCCGTGTACAGATGCTTCATGCGGACATGTACCGCTTTACAATGCCTGTCTGTAGAAAAAATCAAGTGGCCTACTGGTTAGTGCATTTGTGTGTTTGTGTGTGTGTGTAATAATAGGTGTTCATATATAAGCTTTCATTATCAACTTTTAATAAGGGGCCGGCAATGCTAAGCAAAAACCCTTCACAAAAAATACGACATTATCATTGGGGGTAGTAAAAGTATTTTTCTTTTCTACAGTAAACAATATATCTAAAAATTATACGGAGCATGTCCAAGTGTTCCCCCCCTTTTTTAAAAATTATTCAGTAAAATAATAAAACTGGAATTTATCGTTACAGGAGCTAGGGCAAATGAAGTCATTGAAGGCTTTGAAAACCTCATGGGTTTCCCTCGAGTTTTAGGGGCTGTCGACGGATGTCACATTCAGATAAAAGCTCCACAAGAAAAATACCATCCCATGTCTTATCTGAATAGGAAACGGGACTATTCGGTTATTTTACAGGTGAACATATAATTCGGTTTTAAAAATAATATTAATTGCCTCCATGATTCCTGTGATTTAATCCATTCATTTTACTTTTTAGGCAGTGTGTGATCATACTTTGCGGTTCACGGACATTATATCCGGATGGCCTGGTTCTGTACATGATGCAAGGGTCTTCAAAAATTCACCCCTTTATGAAGCCAACGAAAACCTCTTTCCTGGCGATACACATATTGTTGGAGATGCAGCATATCCACTGCAAAGGTTATTAAAATCAACATTCATTTAAAGAAACGGGCAGATTATACTCTTTATGTCCCTGGATCGAAAGATCCTGGGGTATAGTGTTTTTGTCTGTCTGTAGTTAACGTTAACCTAGCCCATAATCTATTGAGTGGGTAGGGCTATGGCTTTCATATTTCACAGGTGTATTCCCTTTGACAAGACCAAATTTGACTTCTTGACCTTGGAATTCGACCTACTTCTACAAAAAAAGATAATACTCTTTAACCTTAGCCATAACTTTTGAACAGTACAAGCTATGACTTTCATCTGGTATAAATATTTTTACCTTTTGACCTTCACCTAAGAGTATGACCCATTTTTAATACTTCAACCTTGGTCATAACTTTTGAACAGCTAGAATTATGTCTATCATATTTCACATGTATATTCCTTGTAACAAGGCCCTCCTTTCGGTACCAACACTTTTGACATTGACCTTTTGAGTTTGATATGCATATGAAAGAATTCAACCATCGTCATAAGATGCCACATGAGGGCATCAGTATTTTACAAACAAATCTTGATTTGAAAATCATGTACATTATTTTTATGTACAAGTTATTTGTATTGCATTTCAGTTGGATTTTAACTAGGGCTGGGCAATAATGTCGATATTTCAATATATTGCAATACAATGACGAAAAATATCGTATCGCAATACGATTTTGTAATATCGATATATTGGCAATATGCTTAGATTGAAGAGTTTTGTCATTAAATATAGAAATGAATGTATAAAAGTTTGTTTATAAGCCAAACAGTAAGACAGAAGTTGTTTTGTGGGATTATTTCAGAGCATAACTTAAATGAAATCATCAAGACTTTTTTTACGATTTGGTTATTTATCATAGTTATGTACATTATGCATGTAAATTAAAGTAAATATAGTAGGAAAATGCCATTTAAATTACATTGAAAATATTGCAATACATAT